ATTTAAATCGTAGATTATTAAGATCTTCATTGTAGTACTTCTGGCATATTTCACTGCTGAGTCCTTACGTGCCATGCTCCATATCCGAGGCGTGGAGAAAACTGACTGGAGAGAGTAACTCTACGATAATCCATATGCAAATTAATTACACGGAGTACCAAATATGGTTGTATTTTGATACTGTAATGAAAGGTCTCAGCGAAAAGAATTAATTTCTACCAACAACCGCCCTCCTCTTTGAGTGTCAAAGGAGAGTATTCACAAAGGGCCATTGGCATGCCTGAACGAGATGTATCTACTGGGAATGTAAAAACTGAAATGCTCGAAAATTGTGGTTCCCTTTGCCATCTATTCAATAAGCAAAACGCCCTCGCGCCTTTTGCAAATTTACCCCATACAAATGCCGTTAAAGTACAGGGAGATCAATAATCATATGCTGCGCCGCTCTTATAAAATATCACATTAGTAATCATTTGCCGCAACCAGGTATATGTGTACCAATACAAAACATAACCTATAATTTCACAAACCAAAACCATGATTTGTGATTCTTATTAGAATACTTTCGTCCCTTTCAAAACGGCTTTTTTCAAGACTACCAGTTTCTTTCGAATATTTACAAGGTGGGTAAATTACTTGTAAATTACAAACAAACGTTTTTTTTAGTTGTAGCGTGTAATAGGCAATAGGTTTACTCCGACAAGCCTTTTACTTTAGAAGAGAATAAGATGCGTTTGCTGTCCTGTTTCCGTAATGGGACTAAAGACGAAAGTGGAGTTTGGGAGTACTCGATACGTTTGTGTATACAGGAGTTTCGATAAACGATTGTCAACCATGACGAGGATTACAAAAATATACGCCGAAATGCTCATCGTTTACTTGAGCGGTTTAACATACAGGAAGTCTTGCTTCTGGGAAGTCACCTGGCCGCTTAGTGATTGCTAATAAGGAGGTTGTAAAAGATGCTCTTGCTCGTCTTGAGCAAAGTCGGAAAAAGCAGCTGCGACAATGTGTCCCACTAACGGGCATCTCATACGGAACGTGTGACGCTATTGCCTGGAGAAAATTGTACTTCTATCCTTTAAAGTAACCGTAAATTATTGCATGCAAATTTACGAGATGGCAACGTATTCGAAACCGTTTACACACCATTGCCGAATTACGAGCAGGTATAGAAGCTACCGTTTGAAACATTACGCAACAGCACTTACATGCCGTCTTCGAAAACATGAAGAAAAGAGTGGATCCCTGTCTTAATAATGGTGGCAAGCACTTCGAACAGTTGTTATAGTGTGCAGGTAATTTATCCAATTACTTCGATATTAACGAGTTGTAAAAGAAATAAAATCGTTTCAATTTTTGTAGTAATTTGCTATTCGTGTAGTTCCACATAATTTGGAAACTTACAAGGTGGTTAAATCGTTGATTTAGGTTAAATATGGTTAAACGTCAAAAGTTTACTTTAAGGTTATGTTTTAGTATTGGTGCACCAGGCCTGTTGCGGCAAATGATTACTAACGTCATAATTTATTGAAGCGGCGCAGCAACTCAATATTGATCGCACTGTACTTAAAGTTCAACTCCACAATTAATGGGTATCACTAAAATCTTTGGTTTGGGTTCGTTTAGACTTGAAAAGAACATCGTCTCCCTGGGTCATTCTTTTATGGATATTGTAAGAAACACTGCAGAAATAGTATATTAAGATACAAGTGTATAATCAAGTCTTTAAAGCACGCGCAACGAGTTTAAGGGCACGACGCAAAGCGGAGTGCCTTTAACGTTGCAAGTGCTTTAAAGACTAATTATACACGTGTATCTTATAGTATTTTTAATTATACCTGCAGTATAATTTAAAAATAGGGAATACAATGAAGTCATATTGACGTTATACTCGAATACGTGTCTAATTAAGTGGGCTGGGTGTTCGTAATTTCACGATTGCCATGGAAATGTCACTTGACGTTTGCTTATCATCGTCTTTGTGAATTAAACGATTTCCGTTAAAAAAGATAATACACCGCCCATTAAATCGATTGTTGTAAAATCTAAACAAACGTTGGTAGGTGTAAAATCCAACTCCAGTAAAGCCTATTATAAAGAATATGAAAAGTTGTTTCCATGGATGAATAGGAAAGTTACTTACGAATACAGTCTTAAATGCATCCATAATGCTGGCATATATGAAGGAAATGTCAAAGGTATTTAAATCTTCTATATTTTGGTGCATTCATTCAAAACTTTAAAGCAGTGCTGCGATTAAAAAGTGGAACAGATTTGGAAGCATACCCTAAATTACGCGCGTTTGTGAAAGCTTCAACCAAAGGATAGGTACAAAAGCCAAAGAAATGTTCTGCGTTTACAGAAAGCGACCTAAGAGGATTTTTTATTTCATCCAGATGACAGTTTCAAAAGTCATACTTGAAGTATCGTTACTTAGCAACTTTAAAGCACGTGTGTTTTAAAGGCCTTTTTTCGCACGCATTTGAGTGTTTAAAACGGAGATTGTGATTCAGGTATAATAATAGTACATTATATATCAAGGTAGAGAAGTACAGTATTATTGCCTGAGCACCAAGATTACATCTCGAGGCGCTTGCACCGAGGGGTGTAAGGTGCGAAGGCAATAATAGACTTCTCTACCGTGGTACATATATACTATTTTTTTCACTACTAGCACTTGAAGTCCTCTAAATTAACATATTATATTGATAAGAAAGTGAACGGTTGGACATAATTTTTTGTTTATTAATTTAACAAGTCAATCAAGTACGTAGAAGTACAAGTCAAACAGGCCGTATTTTGTTCTGTCATTGAGATATTTTCAGAGTAATTTCGTTCGAATTTTTTCAAAATGTGATAATTTTAGGTATGTAATTTCTCTGGAAATGGCGGATGGTGGCAATTTTATTATTCATTTTAGATAACTTGTCCAAACGTTTATTGAGCGAAATTTCGGGTTGTGTTTTCTAAAAGTGACAGCGTGACAGTTCTCATTATTGACTACTAGTTAATAATGTCCACATGATTAACCACTTTGAATAAATGTCGAGAAAGCCTACTTTACAAGTGGAAAAAAGGTTAATAATCATGTCATCAGACGCTAGTAGTGAAAAAATAAGTTTAATGTTTGGGCACCTGGAGTTCTATATGCGTTCTGGTCACGGCTATATCACTTCGAGTAAAATTGGTTCTCCCTACAGCAGTACCTTGCACGGACCGGATATAGAATCCCCGCCGTGTTACCGAATTGAAAGTGGTGGTCGGCAACAAAACTATATTTACAAGCTATTTACGTCAATGACTATTTACAATATAAGCACGTATAACAATATATAAAGGATTTGAAGAGCGCACGGGAATGGCGCCTAGTCCGAATGCCAGTGGCGGAAGAGCTAGGGAAATGATGAGCGCTGCAGCCGAAGATTTCGCGAAAGAAAGAAGGCTTGCCCAATTAAAGTGGTTTGATGTTGGTTTCGGGGCTGCTTCTAAAGTCAGCCTCGCTTGGTACTGTGGTCAACGACGGTGTCTCTACCGCTTGTTGTACATCAGTAACAGCTGAGACCTGAGAATTGGAATTCAAATTAACCCTTCAGCTGCGTTCTGCACGGACAGTCTATAGAATCATCGCCGAAAATATAAGCAGCGTCGAAACAGACAGGAAATTTAGTACGAAATTAGTAGGTAAACGAGGCTAATTGTAGCTCACTTTGATCAGCGCAAGCGCCAAGCTCAATGTCATTCGATTCAGTTCTTATGTTTATCGACGGAAACAGCGCTATTCGTGAAAATCAGATCTGTTCCATAGAAACAGCTCTGTTCAGTAGGAATATGTCTATTTAGCAGCGTCGGGTGCGTGTAACAAACCCGTTTCCGGCCACAAACATAGAACATGGAACTGCACCAAGTGAATCTCTCTGAAGGTCATCCGATCGTGGTAGTGGTCTAAACTAAAAGTCACTGAAGGTCATTCGATCGTGGTTGTTGTCTAACCTAAAGGTCACTAAAAGTCAAACGTAGACACGAGTTCTGTGTGCCTTTAAGGTCGAAGGCAGTACTCGACCGATTTAAAAACACTGAAGGTCCAGTTTGAAGGTGAAATAGAGGGCATACTTGAAGATGAAACAAAACAATGGCCCGTATGAATAAAAGTAAGCAAATGCTTATACTTGCAAAATTCAAAGTAAATATTCGTAACTGCCCCTTCATACTGGTCTGTTTAGCATGGTTTAGCAGCGCTGCACTGCGTCCTGTCCTTCTGCTTAGAAGCGCTGCTAAGTCGCCCAGTGCGAAGGAGCACTTGCGAGTATTTACTTTGAATTTTGCAAGTATAAGCATTTGCTTACTTTTATTCATACGGGCCAATGTACAGTCGATTCAAAAATCAAGGTAAAACGGGTGGTTCTTACCTGAACTCGAACAAAATCAAGGTCACTGAAGTAAAATGTAATTCGATGGCATAGCCAATTCTGTAGCGGGGATGGAATTTGACGCAGAACACAAAGCGGGAAACGATGAGTGTCAAGAAATTGGGAAAAAGTATGAGTTAAGTGAAGAAATATGCGGCAGGTACTTAAACTATAAAATATGTGACGAGTGTATTATACGTAAATTAAGAAATTATAAGTTGGAACGGTTTAGTGAAGAGTTGTAAGTCTGGAAGAATAAAAATTCGATTCTAAAGCAGAATGAGCCGTGAAACAAATCTGATTTTAATGAACAGACCGTTCAAGCAACTTATTTCTGATAAACAGAACCTAATGACCTTGAACTCGGAAAATGCACAGATCTAAAGGCCAACGTGCGCCCATATCGACCATAGGTATCTAATGAAATTTATTTGAAGTTGAACGAATGTGCTTTATTTATCCACTTCAACTGCCTCATCCTTATTTACCAACAGGCATTTTCTTCTTCCAGTGCGGTAATGAAAACAATAAGATCCGCTTCGTTAATAAATAAATTCCTGTTTTACTTGACGCGAATATACAACAAAGAAAAGAATTTCGGTAATAGTTTACTATCCGGGGGGTAACACCGATTTCAACCAAATTTCACAGGGGTCAAAGGGGGGGTCCCACGATACTAAAAAACCATACCAAACCCACCGCAATTGTTTATAACAAATAATAGCTAATAACAAATTTTATACAATGTTCCGTTACAAAAATTAAGGTGGCGCTGTGTGCAAATAAATCAATAGTGTGCGCAGGTGCAATTCCTACCCAGCGGCCACTACGTTGCAGTAGACGCCATTTCGCTTTGCACCCGCTGAAGAAACAGACGCTTTACCTTCGCTTCGTTTATCGTTTGTATTCTGCTTTTTTCAAAGCAATCATGGCGTGTCAGAGCTGCTTTAATACACTTCTTTCTTTTTCAGATTTGTGTCACCGCGAACGGGACCTTATTTCTTTTTTGCAGGATCATCTGGTGCTTCCCGGACCCATCGCCTGCCCCAGGTGCGAGAAGGATTGCTACCTTGCACGAGAAGACACCCGACTTCGTTTTAGATGCCAGCGTCAGGTGAAAGTACCGAAAACTAGGAAGACTAAAAAGTGCTCGTTCTCTGTTACAGCAAAGAAGGGGACCTTCTTCGAGGGATGTCATCTGGACGTCCCGACCGTGTGTCGATTCGTTGCGTGCTGGCTCCTGGTTCACCATCCGAAGAAGAGGTTCATCATGGAAGAGCTGCAAGTTTCGTCCAGGACCTTCGTCGACTGGAGCAGTTTCTGTCGAGAGGTATGTATGCATTATTTAACAAGTCGTTCTGTTCTTTTAGGTGGAGAAGGAGTTACCGTTGAGATCGACGAAGCGAAGATCGGCAAGAGGAAGTACAACCGTGGGAGAAGAATCGAGGGCCAGTGGATCTTCGGAGGGTACGAGCGAGGCTCGGGCAACGTTTTCATTGTTCCAGTTCCAGATCGAACCACGGATACCTTGCTTAACCTTATACGAGACCACATACGACCTGGTACGTAGCAGACGAGTGCGATGCTTATTTTAACGTTTATATTTTTAGGCACCACAATCGTTTCCGATTGTTGGCGTTCTTACCAGTGTTTAGGTACCGAAGGCTTCCGTCACCTCACCGTTAACCACAGCTTGACCTTCGTGGATCCCGACACAGGCGCGCACACCCAAAACATCGAGAGGCTGTGGAGAGACGTGCGAGGAGGAATTCCACGATATGGTCGCAGGGAGGCGCATATGTCAGGGTATCTTGCGGAATTCTTGTTTAAGCGTGCAGTTCCTCGGACTCACCTTATTCATGAATTCATGCGAGCTGCTGCCGACCTCTATCCACCTTCCCCTGTGCCTATCGGAGAAGATCCCGAGGAGCCAGTGGCAGGACCGAGCAGCGCGCCGTGATTTCATATTATCGTCAAATTGTAAGTTAATACGTTTCATTTTAATCGGCTATTAACAATCATTCTTTACAGGTGCCTTTTTCCGTTTTCACTTGCCACATTGTTGTAAACCCATCTTACCACTCCTATTTCTACCGAAATTTCCACATCCTTCCCGACAAGGACGGGTTGACACCTCCTCGTGGTCCTTGTTGGACGGCTGTTCAGTCGACAAAGGAAGCCCATTTCCTTAATGACATGTACGTTTATCATGTATTGTTATTTAATAAAATAAGTGTGGTTATATGTATTTTTATTAAACACCTTACCTAACCAGATTAGCGGTGTACAGAATAAGTTAAAGAAGTTTACTCAAGAACATTCTCTAGGTTAAAGGTTTTTTTAAAAACCTCGCCTAAAATTTGCATTGAGCAAGTACAAATTCACCTTTAAAATTCACGCCCTACTTGTGTTAAACAGGTGTGCTTAAGAAGTTGCCTACTTGCTTAGGTTACAAGTTTTATTAAGAAATCACCTACATCGCCATTAATTACAATTAGTCAAACAAAAGTAGCGATATTAAGCTAATCAAGATATTTCACTTTGATCTGTGCCTAGGTCGGGAAGAGGATTTCGATAATTAAACATCTTACATTAAAATTATTGAAAAATGAACGCATACGCCACCTATTGCGCAATAGGTAAAGTTTTTTCCCGCTACCACGACATTTCCAAACTTTTTTATTTTTTTTTGAAAAAATGGGCCATTTGCGGAAAAAAATTCTATCATTTTCTTCAAAAACAGCCCATTTCCTACACTTTCTGAAATTTTTTTTCGAAAAATACGATACCCCCCGGATACGAAACCGTTACCAGAATTTCATCTGGAAAGCTAGCAAGCAGTTCCCTTTGTATTTTAACGTCCATCCCTACAAAGTCACAGTCCGGAAATGCAAGTGCTAGAAGAAGATCTTCACTACCTCAACACCAACGAAAGGAGAAAACTAGGAAGCAATTATGAACATACAATCTGAGGAAGAAAAAAAACTGGACAACCTTATCAAACATCTATCACTAAGATCAAGAAGGTGATTAAGAAGAAGAAGAAGAACAATTGACGTAGGAAGAATGGAGCGAGTCGGTCAACAAATCATAGTGAATACAAAACAGAAACCAAACAAAAGTCGTTTGAGGAAGAAATAACAAAGCATATTAAAGACATTAATAGAAGATTACAAGAGGAACTAAAAAAAACAAAAATACGAGCAAAAGAAACCAAAAAAGTTATGGAAATGTAAGCGCAGGATTATTTGAAATTGAACGATCGTGTTTGAACTGCCTCATCCTCATTTACTTAGGTATATTTTTTTCCAGTGGAGTAATTAAAAATATAATAACCTATTCATTAAATCTTATTGTTTTATTTTTATCCCTATATTTCCTTGAGGCGAAGATTTTCATGGAAGAACGCGACCTACACGATGCAATTGTAGAAATTATTATAATGATAAATTATGCAGCGTGGTTAAACAAACGGAATAATGTAATTAATTACACAAACACACTTAATAGTACAAAAATCGTAACTCATAAATCACTAGTGACAAGCTACAGTACACGCAAATAGCTTTAGAAATCAATCAATGGGCTTAGCGATTTGGAACGAGGAATCACTACACGTGAGCTGGATACTATAAGATTTTCTACAAGACATTTTTATTGTGAAACCACATATAGAAAATTTATGCGAGGATCGCGTGCCCATTCTGTGTGTCAATTAGATGGTGGCAGTTTTTGTAATTTTTTATCGTGTGTCTGTCTCCAGGGAAACACAGTTTAATTACATTCCTTTGTATTCAGCTTTTAATACAAATGTCAAACGCAAAATCAAGGACAAATTTCTCTTTGCGTGTAAATCACAACTTGGAATTATTACATCAAAATTTTCATTATTGAGCACACAAAACATATTACACCCTCTCAAAAATTAATCAATGCGCGCAACAACCCTCTATTATCATTTCATGTTGGTAAAAACGTTCGAATGCACGACGAACAAACTATTGACTACGTAAATAGGACTAATGCCCTCAATGCGATCAATACTTTCGTTGAAACAAAACCAGGAATCGTTTCGATCGTACCTACAGGTTTTGAATAGGCACGAGTTGATAGTTTGATGGCCAGGAAGTCACCAATGTGTAACTTTACGATGGCAGTGCATCACGTTTATGTAGCCACAATGAGATTTATAGCAAGTTTATGATACATTTAGTTCAGGCTGCAAACTTGTCATAAACCCTGACGCAGATGTTATACTGGAAGACCATTATGGGAGAGAAGGAATTATGTGCATGTAAATTACTTAAGTGTACAAACATTGAAATGTCGGAGAACGGCTAATGTAGCAGTAACGTGTAAAGCCACTGCTCGCATAGCCAACGGAACAGTTTGTTTATTTACTTGGCCGTGGTATTCAAATGTGAATTTAGACCGGAGGTTTGTTTTAAAGATGAAAATCTGGAATTAAGAGCTACGTTGTTTTTGGGTAAGCATTCTTATAATGCGTTGCGTAGGTTTCCTGAGGATTAATATAGTGGTCATCTGAAACCGAGTTTGACAGTGGATAAAGTCAGAAATATCCACACAATAACAATATACAACAATTTAGTCTAAAGTGAAATTGATATAGAAACTTCCCAAAGTATCTCAAAATGAACAAAATTTAATAAAAAAAACGTCTTGGTGGATTACTTTTGTAGTACACTTCACTCCGAATGAGAATCATATCTACTCCTTTGAAGAAAAGTTACCGATGAGCTATCTATAGTAACATGATGCTGAAATATAAGAGTAATTGAATATACGACTTCGCAATATGTTTTGGAAAATCAAGTGGAAGGTTTCGAAATAAAAATGTTCATAGCGAATTGGAGATAAACCATAGTTAATATTCAAAGCGTAGAGATGGCAATAATTAAGTCACGTAACGGCCAAGTTAATTTTTTAGGTATCAATGAACGATGCAAATAAGAAAAAAACCATTAAGTATACAAATTGGTCCGTAAGGAGAGTGAAATCATTAATAAACACTCGACATAGGGAGCTACGGAGGATTTGAAGGAAGTAGGTATACGGAAGTAGCTTTGGGACGGAGTTACAATAAACATAAAAGAATGGAATTCTTTCTTATTATTTTTATTAGTTTACTTTTTTCACAAAAGGCCGTAAGTTACTGATTTTTTATCTACCGGCAGTGTGAGTAATATGGTAAGAAAGTTAGCTTAAACTGTAAATCAGAAAAATGAGTAATAGTCAATTTTCTTACCTTTCTTAGTTGATCTACAGAAATCTATAATGAACCGTTTTGTAATTCAATACCAGTGGACCATGAAGTAAATGATTATAATTATCCAGTCCACAAAAAAGAACAAGTATGTGATTAAGGTTCCGCAGTAAAAGCACAAGTAAAATTCAATTATGATTTATGTTATCGGCTTGTGCGATGGCTCGGGGAATTTTGTTTGTTTTATTTGGGGGTGTAATACGTTTGTTGAATTTGTTCTTGTATATTAATTAGTAATTGACGATGCTTTTGTTGAAAGATGACATAATTGGTTTTGGAGTCAAAATAAAAGGGGTTAACCTCAGGCCTCCTTAGTATGGTTGCTACTGATGCGATTTCAGAACTAACTGGGGGTGCGAATCGCGGCTCATGTTGCATCGAGTATATAACATTGTACTTCTAATTTGAATTTTCGATGCAACATGGCGGGTGGGCTTCTACCTGTCTCCATAAAATCACTTTATTATATTCACTATTCTGACGCTATCTATGTATTTCCTTTGTAAACCCGTTTAGTTAAGATGTAAGTTATTTCTATGGTAGATTTGTTATTACCTAATCCTTTGCTTCGCCGCCAGAGGTCGTGCAGATGTTTTTCGTAATATATGTTTAGTATGAGGTACCTAAAGATTATTACTTTAGGGCTCGGTCCTCTATCAGTGTTACCTATGCTTCTCTCATAGTTCTCATTGTTTTCTCTGCTGGATTACTTTTTCGTTCTTATCTACCTGGATATCGCTTGTCACCTATGCAGTACGTGGATGGCATCGCATTTTTACATGGACCCGCCATATTAGTGGGGATTGGAATTGTCTACGTCATGTGATAAATTATTACTACCTATTTCGAAAAATTTACACCTGGAAAGGTATTTTTCCTGTTTACCTGCAAATATTAACTAAATCTTTTGAAGATTATTTCCGATTTTACTTACTCTACCTATTTTTGTTACTCCGGAAACTCATTTCTGTTAGTCTGATTACTTTCTATCCTTCAGATTTGTTTATTATACGAGATACCTGCGCGTTGTAAATTAGTTTTTAAAATTACCGAAACCTAGTCCGAAACAAATATTTAGGAATTTTACGTTACTTGTGTCACTCCGAAGAATTTGCTCGTGTTCTCTTATTTACATTACAGATTACCTGTTGTTGTATAGAAATTTAGTTATTTTTGCATCGTCAGGTAGTGTTTTTTTAAGTTAACGTTACGTTAATGTTTTTATTTTACCGATTTATATTCTTTTTCGATATCTTGCTTTTGTTTAGTTAACGAAAAATAAATTATGGATTCTTATTGAGTTATAATTACGGTTTCAGTATTCCATTTACCCTAGTGTCAGACCTCGTGTCAGACGTTAGACATTGCTACTGCAATAGTTATGTGCGGCGCTATTCACTCTCCCTCTTGTTTTGTTTGTGTTGTTATCTGTTACAGATAAGGCAGAAAGCGCCCTTCTGAGCTCACAAAGCTATTACAAACAGTGTTCAAGAATCATTTTTATTTTGGACGACTCTTTTATATAACGTTTGATTACATACTCGTTTTCTATACAGCCGAATTGTATACTACACTTGTTTGATAGTCATTTAATAATTACAGCTCCGTTGTTTTCTGCGGAAGCATGTTTTGATATTGATAATTTCCCTCACTACGGGTTGATCTCTTTTTACCAAAAAAATGAGCTAAATTAAAACATTGATGACATCGCAGTTTCCTATTTGTAACAATTTGAGATCTTCGATTGAAATAACAATTATTGTTTATGTTCTGTCTCTGTCAATTATTTTGTGTTTAGCTTATCAATACCAGAACAAGGATCTCTTAATATGTCTCCTTTCGGTAAGTATTCTCTCTTCTTTTTTTACATTTATTGAAGACTAAGTGGCGCCTATCCGGTTTCCTATTACTATATTTTCTTTTTGCTTCGTTTTGGTTAGTATACAACAATCCCAAAA